TGTCGGATATCTGAGGGGTTGCGCATCCAACTTTGTGATGAACCCATGAAGCCTCGACTTTCCAGCATTCTGTATGTTTGGCGCCGTGCCATACATACGATACTCGTATTTACCCTGTGTCTATGGTCATAGTACGTTGTGAAAATCGTTTTAGGTACATTGTGGTATCTTGAGCCGAGAAATATGAAGTAAATTAAAGCTCGAAAACTGCGGGGTCTTTATTTGGAAACTCGAAAAAGAGTGATGGAGGCTCGGCGATGAGTTGTCCGGCGATGAGTTGTCCGGCGATGAGTTCTCTCGGCGATGAATTATCCGGCGATGAGTTGTCTCAGCGTTCAGTTGTCGGCGATGAGATGTCGGCGATGAGTTGTCCGGCGATGACTTGTCATGTACCGCTCCCACCCATTCTACGAGCTTATGGATCATGCAACTGTTGGTTTGCTCCGACTTCAATTTCTTCTAATTTGTTCTCCTTGCTTAGGAGCTTAATTCTCTCTCCGTACCCTCTTTTTTGCCATGAACTAAATCACAGAAATGTTCGGGCGACCAAAGATTCGATATTTAACTGGTCCGAACTCCGCTCTGCCTTCTCATCGATCCCGTCGATTCGAGGGAGTTCATATCCGTGTTCGTATCTAAGGAGATGCTCCTACGTATGGTTTCGTGATCGGCTATGAGTTTATTTACATCACTGCATAATCGAGGGCCTATCGATGATTTCGAGCAGGGCATCGGCTCAATACACTGACCGACACATAGACTTACTATATTCTTTTCCGCGATGATTTTACGTAGAATTAACACAGCGTCATTAATTGGAGAGCTCACGAAATCCGCTGAATGTTATGAATGTTGGAGTCTTCCTCAAAAGGGATTTTTCGGCTATAGCGGCGGTCGCCTGAATTTTCTTTCAAACATTTTTTCCGACTCGAGTTCTTGAGAACCCTACCGATTTACATGTAACAGTACAAATTTATCTCAAATCATTCTCAATTTTCCGTCTGTCATCGAATTTCACAGCATTATCATGGCTATACTCCGGGTCCGTGAATCTTATTTGAAAACGGCTACCATACAAGGTTGTTCACACACGTTATCACGCTCCCCATGTTCCGAAAACACGCATTCATACCTACACCACATGTACGAATTCTGGCACGCATGAATTAAGATCACTATGCGAGCGAGTTGATGCTAGGGAAGATTCCTCCTCCGGGAAAGAAAAAACTGAATCTTTGCTGGCAGCATCTTCCAGAAAATCCCTTCCGCGGGGAGAAGCTCCCTCGAACCTAGTCTCCCTCGCAGTGTACTCAAATTCTCATGAGGTCAGTGCCGAGTACCGGGCTACATGCTCTCTTTCCAATTGATCGCTCCACTCTGTATATTGGGAGCCCACCTGTGTGCTTCGAGAACTTATGGGATTGTTCTCGGAAACGATCATGAACTTCCCCGAACAAGAACTTTCTGTTTACCGGATATTTTCAAACTATCTGACAGTCCCGCGGTGGAACCGATTGGATGATGTCATTCCAATTGAAGGGATTTCATAGATTGCTCCAGCCTCAGCTACGAAGGTAGCGATGAATCGAAGAGGGTGACTGAAGCGATATGGTTGTTGTTCCCAATGACCTGCAGGGAGCCATCCGAATTGAGGTGACGTCCGATCGACTTCCCTTTCATAACCCCGCTTTCCCAAGCCTGACTACTCACCTCGATGATGACATCCCCGCAACAACCATAGCAACTCGTTGAGCCGAATGGATTCGTGGTATTCGTCGAGCAGCCTCTGTTAAGGAGAACCGGTTTCTCCTCGGGAGGAACCAGGCGAGTAGAAATACCATCCCACTAGGAAACGGAAAGCCCAATTTTAGCCCGAGTTGTCTGCATGTCGATGGAGGCTGGGACGCGATGTTCCGTACTGCGTTCTCAGACAGGGAGACGAACTCCGTCGGACCATATTTAAAATAGAGTGATGTGATGACTATCCCCTGATCAGAGATTCGGCATACCTTCGAGAACGTATTGATGACGACCTTCGGTTCGCCCTGCTCCAGCGAAGGTAGAACCATTGTAAAATTGCATCGATGATAAATATTGAAGTCGTAATGACCCGGGAAATTCGTGTGCAGAACAATTTTTTTGGCAGTATGTCGTCTGGCGTCAAACAGAATATCCTGAAAACGATTCTTCACATGAAATACCGGATCCGAGGAGACATTTTGGATTCGATCCGATGCCTGATTGCCTCCGCCGAGGCCAATTGGTGAATGCAGACCCGGATCCTTCTCCGCTCGCCTCTGACTCACCAGACCCAGGGTGAAGTAATTGTAAAAGTAGTCCGAGCGCAGGTCTTGACCCGTTTCGTCCTCGGTTGCGCTCGGCGAGTGAATTCGCATTTTGTCCTAGAAAGAATCACCGAGCTCATTCTCCGAAGGCTAATTTCACCGTCAATATATTTTTGAGGAGCGTGATAGACCTGCACCTCAAAAATTTATCGCAAGAGTTTGGCCTTAAGCCATCATCCACATACCTCTTCTTTGTAAAATATCTTCGAGGGGCTCCCCAAGAGCGAGACGACATCGCTGACGCTGTCACCGAAGAGAATCGTTCTGCAATTCGTATTGACATTGTTTCACGGGGAGTTTTTCGGGGCATAGGATTCGAGCCTCATCTCCCCGAAATCGGGAGGGGGAACGCTCTCCGGGAGGGACTATGGTCTCTCGAGCTGCCGTCTGCTCTTCATCTCGTTACCTTTTCAACGTTTTCTTGGCGGCCATGTTCGTCCGGTCGTAGGATGCTTTGAGCACAATTTCGACTTGAACCCCTCGAGTCCGCCCTGGGTTACGAGGTCCCTGACCCTCATCCCGTATAACTTTAAGCTGCTCCAAGAAAATCGAGTCGCCGAACGTGCTCAGCGGCAAGGGAGGGGGTCTGAAAGATCCAAATCGTCATCGAGATGCTTGGAGCGTTGTTACGATTTTCGATACGCAGAAAACTCCGGTCTGGGGGACGGGTTCCTCTCGCGACCAGCTGAACCTACACTGTGTCTTTATGCGACGTTCCGGTGTAGATCGACATCCTCGAAACAACTGAACTGTGTAAACTCTGAAATTTAGAGGAAAATATCAAGGCTCGCGTCCGATGCTTCCTTGAATGATCTCCCCTCGCTATTGCATATTTCCTCCTTTATACTTATTCGAAGCAAAGCTTACGTTCGAGTCTTTCGCCTTCCTGTCCGCTGCAAACGAGAAACAGAGGCCCCGGAATTTCTGATGAAACATGCGCGCATCAGCGTCAAACTCTGTAAGAAAAAGTCTCCCTGAGACCTGAGCGGGTAGGACCGATTCTACGCTAGATTATTCTCTGCAAATGAGTCTTCGGGAAGTATCATAATATGGTGATCAGATGCTCCAGTTAGCGTGACAGCGATGGGACAAATTTCCCGCTTGATGTATAGGCTTGAGAACTTCCAATGTGTCCCGCTCTTGATCGAAAAGATCCCGCGCTGATGCAATGACAGCTCGCCTGACTGCCTATGTCAAAAATGATTATGATTTCGGGGAGCATGCTCGGTAACTAACAAGAGCAGCTCCGTACTCAAAAAAGGCCATCGATCGACTTCGTTGATTCATGGTTTTAAAGCTTGAAGGCTGTTTCTCTCAGCCCGCGCTCATTCATCGAACGATCAGGCTCGCGAGACCCCTTCTCGGAGCGATGCTCCTCAGTCAGTCTAGCTGTCTAGGTCTATCCAATCGGGCGACCGCAGTTGGTGAGGGGCCGATCGAGAGTCTCTCCCACACATCACTAGGGGACTCCTAGGCGTGTCCCGCCTCGATGGAAAGCTTCGCCATGGAGAGTGCAATAGAGCTTCGAGCCGGAGCTAGAGGCGAGCTGGTCCTCAAGCAACGGATCCTCACGGGTGGCAACGATTCTTGCAGAAATCTCGAGCGAGAAGGCAAGGACGGGACCCGAGAGAAAATGTGAGCGTGAACTGAGACTAGCCTGAGTCATGCGAATGACACCGGGGCGACTCTCGAAAGAACTCTGTCCCTTCTCGTAGGGAATAAGTATCTTCAAAAGCTCCGGGGCGTGCGAGGAGAGCTCTGGAAATGGACAGTAGGAGACAGGAGCGCCTAATCACCGGAAAACAATCAAACTGTGAGTGACGTTCTGGAGAGGCAATCGTACCAGTAATTCCCAAGACTCCAATAGCTCTATATTGTCGGCACGACGCCTATGCGGAGGAAAACGTAAGTTCGACATTGTTGCGGCACATGAATCCATCAGCGGATTCAGAGCCTCGGAAGGAGGCGGGAGGCATTCTTGAGGAAACCCACGGTTCACAATCGATCTCGGTCTCGCGATGATGGGAAGGGTTCTGAGAATCAGCTGATAGCATCCGGTGTCACCATTCCCGTGAGGATTCAGACAAACAACGATGCGGGAATAGCTTTCACGCAGATGATCTGCGTCGCGACGCTCCAGGCAATGACCGGGTGACGTTCACGCAAGCCTCCGAAATACCACCTCAAGGTTGCCATTCCTAATTTGATTAACCTGTACCCAGTTGAACGATGACCGCGATCGGGGACGAGAGACTCATGTTGCCCGTCTCGCGCAACGATCTCCTGCCGAAGGGTAAACGGGACCGCACACTCTTCATCATCATGCTAATAATGGTGCCCGTGGTAAGTATAAGAATCTAGAGCGACTCGAGACAAAACACATAATGTCCGAATGCCGCGACCCATCGATTATGCTAACGTTTTGGAGCGCCTTTCTCGTAGGTGTTTGTGTTCGATGTGTTCTGCGTCCTGCCGGAGGTATCGAATCTCATACCCGTTCACGTTCTCGGTGCGATATTCGTTCTCTTCAATATCGCCGCGAATATGCTGCAACTCATGTGGTCGCAACCCTCAGCGCGCGAGTTGAGTCCTGGAGTTCTGCCATCGGTGTTGATGCCCAACTGGTTCTACTGTCACGAATGTCACTTGAACGTTCCACCGAGGAGTTACCATTGCAGGTCAGGTACCTTCGGATAATCTTCCACGATTACCCGGGAGCGGGACGAACCGAGAACTGAACGGAGGGAATCGATATTCTTTTCAGGGTTTGTGACGCTTGCATCCTAAAACAGGATCATCACTGCATGTTCGCAGGGAAGTGCGTCGCCTTCGGGAACCAAAGATATTTCGTAGTGGGCGTTTTCTACATCTTGGTGGGCACCATTTACTCGCTGACGATGCATTTCGACTACACGGTAACTCATCATTTGGGGGGATATCGGTGGAAGCTGATCCTCGTACAGCTAGCCCCGCATTTAGGATGGCTTTTCGGCGCGTTTGACATGTACGGCTTCCTCGCGGCATCTTTGAACTTGCTCGAGATTTGCGTCATGTTATTTTGTGCTACACTCCTGTACAGTCAGGTGAATGATTTCTCCCATATAGTCTGCCTGATTCTTGTGCCTATTCCTCGTCTCGTTGTAGTGTCCACTTCTCACAGCTCGTCATCGCTCTCTTGATGTCCCTTAAGACTCCATTTATTCTTTCTAGATCGCCTGCGTCCTCAACAATCAGACGATGTACGAGAGGAAACACGAAGTGAAGAAGTTCAAGCATCCGACTCTTGAGGAAAACCTTCAAGAAGTTTTTGGAGAGCACTACATTCTTGTTTGGCTTTGGCCACTCATGGAATCGAAACCAAGGGGCGACGGGATCAATTTTGTAGACTACGAACGCCTTGAGAACCGCAAATCACTCTAGTCCGTGACGTCGGAACTGCGCAAGCAGCCGCTCAACCAATATTCCTCTAGGAAAGGATGTGGGACCTTAAATTGACAGTGAACGACGGGGTTCTCGATCCCCCGGTATACGTTCGAGGTGCTTGACGAATCTCCGCAAAACGATTCGAGTGAAGAGCACTCTCGAAGCTTACTGGAGCCACAGAATCGCGTTTCTGAATCATCCTCACTCAGACACTTTCTCGGACGTCGAAACGAAATATAACACATATATTTATACACGATCGCCGAAACCCGTGTGAATATTGATGAAGATCACAAGGACCTATTGCATTTTTTGTGAATAAATTCTGAGCCTTGATTCCCTCTGAAATAATTTCCAAACTGGTCGGAAACTCGGGCGAATATCCCCTATCTTATGATTTGAGGCACTCACCTCCGGGATAGGTCGCACCGAAGGTTTCGTCGATCTGATCGCGGGTGGGTGGGACATCCTGGGGGAAATCAAAGAATCTTATGCTTCTCCTGCTCTGCCGACTGAGGGGAGAATCGTAATCAAGATCGTTTATCAGGGAGCGACAATCGCGTGCAAACCTTGGAACAGAAAACAGTGCCCGAGTAAGTGAGTTTCACTTTAGACAAGTTCGTCACCTCGATGAGCTGGAAAGAATAAATCAAATCTGAGGAGAAACTCGGAAATATCCTCTCGACCGCCATAAAAGCTCGTCATCCTAGACACGTTACGTCTCTGCACGAATCACTCACCTTCAGTCTTTGGGTAGTAGGTTCGAAGACCAACCGGATTCCATCCTGTCGAAGGTTGAGAACGATATCTCCGGCTAATGGATGCTTATCCGAGTAGCTGAGCTCAATCGAGTGGATGATTTCGAACTGCCGTTGCAGATTTTGGATCACCTGGTTGATCGACATACCTAGAAGGAAACGTCGCATTGACATGACCGATATTCGAATGCCGATTCCGCGTTAGACATTATGGGCTCGCGAACAGCTGAACAGATGAATTGCGCTGAAACCAACCCTCTTGCGCCAAGCTCTGATCCCTTCTCTTTGAATCTGAGTCGACCCTTACATCGGGCGCTCTTTTCTCTATTTCTCTATTCGGATCGAATCAGGTTCATTGCCGCGTGAGACTTCTGCTCTTCTGCGCGCCGGAAAGCACGAGACGTTTTCGGCTCGCCCTTCGAAGGCGAACAAACCGCGCAGAAGAGTCCACGGCTCTAACAGGGTCTTTTCCGTCATCGGGCTCAAGGAAAAACCCCACTCCGCGCGAGCCCATCTCGATGGACGAAGCGGAACTCCTCAGAACACTCCTCCGGAAGTTGAGCCCTTATTGCGCCTTATGGACTTCCTATTCGCCATCACGACTGTCGACGTTGCCACAAAATATTCGCATGTGATTCATCACCTAATTCGCAGCGACATGTCCAGATCGCGGCGGTAGCGCGATGCGCAGATACCAAGTTCTGTCAGAGACTCCGTCGTCACTGCACCAGTTATCGGACCAGTCGGACAATGTTTACATTCTAATCTTTCTGGAATAGAATCCATATGGGGCCAAAATCCCTCTCCCAGGCGTCCCGGGAATCTGCACTTGGAAACAGTCACAGCGGAATTCCGTCCACTTCAAGGGATGCCTCACAATTCAAAGAAAAACATATTGAGGGGAAGTTTTTTTCTGGAGATCGGCGATAGATAAGCGAGGGGGGACCAGACTCACACGTCAAAAAAATGGGGAGCGCGCACCTTTACTCTCTGAACGAAAGAGGGGCCGAACTCGCAGTGAAACAGTTGCATTCAAGAGCGAAAATTGGAAAAAAAAGCTCAAAAAGTTCGCCATTTGGAGCCTCCCGGTCCGATTCAGGAGCCTCTCGAACCGGATGGAAGACCCCCGACGTTCAAGAGCACCTGCTTCTGTGTCCGTTCTTCGTCACGATATCGACCAGAAATCTCAAGATACAGCGCGGGTAGTTTACCATGTTTGCATTGCTGACTACCAGAAAAACAATGAGTCGAAGTGGTCCGCTGCCAACATTCACTGTTCGCTTCCTTACTAACCACCATAACCACCGACAAGAGAACCACCACCATATTAGAGAAGGGATTCAATATTCGAGTACACCTACCGAGAACAAGTTGGATGTCATCGTTTATCAGTGACTTTTCCGGCACAACTTGAAACTCGAGCATTGCGACTGATCTTGCAGACTGAGCAAACTGTATCTCTGGATTTCACCGTTGACGTCGACGTTCCGCAGTAGCAACACCAGCTATATGTTCGTTGGAATCAGTTTCCGAGTCCCATGAATATTTGAAACTGGAAACGCTCCTCACACAGAGCGAGTCCCTGGTCAGAGACGTCCGTCCACGTCGCTGAAGGCGGTAATTTTCACAGGGTTCCCAACCCTGGCTGAACAATGGCCAGTCAGTCAGTCATTCACTTCTCGTCGTTCTTCTGTCTCGATAGCAGCAGCAGCGAGACCAATAGCAAAACACTGGATCAGCTGGTCTCAGGCAGCTGCGTAGCCGTGACGTCACGACCAATCGCTGGCCGCGGTGGCGAGGACGACGCACTTGGCGCATTTGTTCGAAAGCGTTGACTTGCTCGACGTGCTCCGATCCAAGGATGTCACACAGTCAATGGATGAACAGTCAGCGCGTATCGGAGTGGAATTATTCCGAGATGGACCGTATAATAGCTCACCCATCTACGAGATGTACGCAGGTACTAGATCAAAGCAACGCCTCTCGGGGGATAAGGGATCGTTCCAGGGTTCGTCGTGAATTCATCGTCAGAGATGAACATTATAATCAGCCATCCGCTGATGTCATCACTCCATCGCTTCGAATGATCGTGAGCATGATCTCTCACCTCAGGATATTCCTTTGTGCCCGAAAAGCGTAGATCCCATCGAGTGATCGGGAGGTCTCGAAAGCATCGAAGCTCCTCGAACTATCCGCGCACTCTCTTCCGCTTCGTGCGCATCCCGGGATTAGCGTTTGGAGTTTATCTCCAAATCCTGCGATGAGTTCGACGCCTCGAGATTCGATCTTCTCGTGATTCTCCCCATGGGCTATGATATCTCTCTAGTGACACTTGCTCTGCGGGAGATAGTGACCTCCGCGATCGAGTCGATACTCAATCCGCAAGCGGCATCCTTCCCTCGGCTAGAATCCTCGAGAGGAGAGAGCGAACTGCCCCGTCATCATTGATATTATTGATACGTATGGGCAACTCCAAATACAAGTGAGTCGGAGATTAGGTCAGCTCGGACTGAATTTTCGGAAAGACTATAGTTGGTCTCTCATGAGAATCTGGGACTAGCATCAGCTGAATCAGCTCGAATGACGTTCTCCGAGGAAGCATTCACATCATTCCCCGTAAACGCGACATATGGAGCTCCTAATACTGTCTCCTTCGATGTTGGCGGCTTTTTTTCTTCTTTAGTCGGGACGAGCCTCCAGAGCTGCGTGCGCCTTTGCACGGGAAATATCTCGGCGGGAGGTCCGCCGCGGGAGTATGTAACGGTATGGAGCAGCGCGATCCTGACGGCTTCCTCGCAGCAGCGATCCGAAATAGAGAGTATTGATGAAATCAACTCGAATCCGGGGGAAAATTAATTCATTCGACTGCCAAATGAGGAGCTGAAGCATCTGGCGTGAAGCTCCGGTGCGACACCATGGGTCGGTTTCTAGGCGTCGAAGACCTCTCTGGTGTCAACAAGGAAGATAAGAAGACAGCGAGACATTGTCGGGTGAACGTCGCTAATTATCTCTCCGTAGCTTCATCTCTTTCTCTCCACTATCTCATTGTCTAGCGTAGAGGATGCCGAGAAACGATCTTCCCAGTGCGACGCGCAACTCCTCACATTCCGGCTGTCGAGTATACCAGCATATGAGTGCAAAATGGTAATCCGCATACCTACAAGCCTACAATTCTTACTCTATTTATTTACAATATTATTTATTTTCATTGCTGATGATTCCACAGACGACCTACTTAGACAGAGGTCCAAAACCCGAAGGAGGCCGTTTCTTGAACTTTCACCATGTCACCTTTTGGGTCGGAAATGCGAAGCAGGCCGCATCATACTACTGTGAGAAACTGGGATTCGAGCCCTTGTGCTACCGAGGACTCGAGACAGGTTCGTTCCCTCGATGCTTCTGACCGAGTCATATAATAGTATTCGCTGTTGACGGTGCATCTGATAGCGCTCAAACACATCAGCGCAATTTCAGGCCATAGGGAAGTCGTCAGTCATGTTGTGCGGCAGAAAGACGCGATTTTCGTTTTCCAAAGTCCCCTGAACCCAGGAAACAGAGGTACCTAGACGAGAATGGATTCCGAATGAGAGATTCCGAAATTGAAGTCTAATATTCTGTGATTCGTGTTTGGCGGAAAAAAAACATCATGGTCTGAGTGTTGAGCTGGGTGTTTCAGAGTTCGCAGAACATATGGAAAAGCACGGCGACGGCGTGAAAGACATTGCTTTCGCCGTCGAAGACCTCGATTACATCGTAGCTCTCGCGAAGCGACGAGGTGCGGAGATCCTGAAAGACATCAGCGAGGAGAGAGACACCCACGGTTCCGTGCGCTCTGCGACCCTAAAAACCGTGAGTTCCGAAATCCGAATCGCCGCGGTTCATCCTATACCATGAGAAGACGAAGGAGCTGCCCCTTATCGGGGAGCAAAAGGAGCAGAAGAGCTCCTGTGGAAGAAAAGACTTTGGTAGAATTTTGATCCGCACTAATGGGGAAATGTATCCGCAGTGCGGGGATACGTCCCACACCCTCGTCGAGATTGGAGGCTACAGTGGTCCCTTCCTCCCGAATTTCCATCCGCATCCCGAATCTACGCCCAACAACACCTCGGTGAAACCTCGGAAAGGGTGGGCTTCTTGAGGACATCTCTATGAACCAAAGGTTTCAATCCGCGGCCTTGACGAATTTCGTCGAATTCCGTTCTTAACACCTTTTCCCCCTCCCCCTAGGGAACCTTGCGGCGTTCGCTTCGTCGATCACTGTGTTCTGAACCAGCCAGATGAACAGATGCTCCCTGTCGTGGAATGGTACGAGAAAATCCTCCAGTTCCACAGATTCTGGTCTGTTGATGACAAGCAGATCCACACAGAGTATTCCGCTCTGAGGTGAGAAACTTTTGACGATCTCTGTGACGCTAGGCTCGTGACTCCCCGCCAAGGAGGAATTCTTCAGTTCCTCCTCTTCAGATATTGCCGAACTTAATTTTCTATCGTTGAGTAGAGTATAGTCGATTTGGAGGCGATTTTCTTGAACCCAGACGAGACGACACTGACGCGAATGCCGATCGTATCGCTTGATTCAAGACGCAGGAGGTAGTTCCGCCTGTCTTCTCATGACGTCGACCATCCCGCGTCGCTAATCATTCGCTGGGAGACTGTTCCTCGATGGAGAGTGAAAATGGCACAATCTTATCATCTGCGTCTCGTAGAACGAAAACGTGATCGTTGTCATTCTACACCTACGCAGACGAATTCCCGTCGACTCACGCCCCCGATTTCATCATAGGACCTTACGAATCCGGATTTTATTGCGAAGCATGTCTAACACAAGGCATATCGATTCACACCAGAGGAATCCGATTATCCAACGGTCTGCGTACAGACGCACCTTCGGTTTCGAGAATCCTAGGGACAACCCGAGGGAGTCAAGCCTCGGGACATTTGGCGTGAAAGCGAGCGATTTCTGAGCAATGATATTTCCGGAGTATGCCAATCGAGACTCGAGACATACAGAACTTCCAGACAGTCTTCGTCGTCGGATCTTGGCTACGGGGCGATCCAGGGGACGATTAGCTGACTTCCCAATTCCACAGATCAATCGTCATGACGAACTTCGACGAGACGATAAAAATGCCTGTCAATGAACCTGCACCTGGGAAGAGGAAATCCCAAATCCAGGAGTATGTAGAATACTACGGAGGTCCTGGCACGCAGCACATCGCCCTGAACACGGACGATATAATTCGATCGGTGCGTGGATCATCTCCTCGACATGTGGGCGTAGAATCGTGATTCCCTTCTTCTGTATGCCTAATTCATAGCGGGGTTTCCAGATCAAGGAAATGAGAGCTCGAGGAATGACATTCTTGAAAGCACCAGACACGTACTACCAGCAGCTCCGGGACAAGCTCAAAACATCTAAGGTGATGAGTATAGTGAATGAATAATGAATGAATATCCCGTGATGATCTCGGTGGAATCAAAAAGTACCGTGCCACTTCTTTTCTGAACGCGCGGGGAATCGCACAGGTTCGAGTCGTCGAGGATCTGGAGGAGCTTCAAAAACTCTCGATTCTCATCGATTATGACGATAATGGGTATCTGCTGCAAATTTTCACCCGCCCCATGCAGGATAGACCGACGCTCTTCATTGAGATCATCCAACGCAGAAACCACCAGGTTCGTCAATGATCTGATGCCCCATATTTTTGAGCTGAGTTAGACTCGGCCGCGCGGATCGAAATCTTCAATAGCGAAATTTTCAATTAGGGGTCGCGATGTTTCTCCTTTCGCAGGGATTCGGTGCCGGGAACTTCAAGGCTTTGTTCGAGGCTATCGAGCAAGAGCAAGCTGCTCGAGGAAATCTCTGAGTGTTCCCGAGGTGGAGTTCATAAGCCAGAGAAGAAATTACTCTCTATTCTCTATCCGGTTACCTGCCGGGGAGCCGTCGACTTGTTGAGGAGGATGAAGAAGTCCTGTGGATGAGCCTTCCGCGTCAAGGAGTCGGCTTCTCGCCTCTCGATCCCAGCATAGCGTAAACAGATTATGAGACGGTACCGAAGGAAGAAAATGCGCCCTCGAGCTTCTCTGTATTCACGTGGATTTATTTTCGCTAGAATAGGAGATACAATCCAGAACTTTATTCTGCTATTCACCTCTTATTCTCATTCATATATGAAGTGATAGGATAGAAAGAAATATCGCATACATTGTCCATCAAAGTCTCATATGTTCGTCAACCGAGAGACATGGAATTCGCGGATCAAATGAAGTCGATTGGCGCGTCCGATCGACTCGGTTCCATTCCTTCCAGTTATGGTATCCGTCGTGGATAATATGTGAGAGTACCCAGACTATGCCCTTTCTCGATGATACCTTCCGAGCTAGCGATCCCGAAAGCCCAGGTGGGGACGTACTGATTCAGAGATACATAAATTCAGACGAATGCGCCGGATCCCAAGCAAGGTCGAAGAATGAGGAAGGACCTCAGGTCCTATGCAGTCCAGAGGAATACAGTTTTCCCCACCGCCAGTTTTCCCGGGGACTCCATACTCAAATTCAGAATCGAATCGGAGAGCTCTACTACATTGTGAGCGCTAATCACGTGTTCGTGGACGAGTAGCCAATGGAATTAGATTTGGAGACCGTGACAACTGAAAATGCGACAAGCCGGGATCTGGACAACGAAATGTCCCGAAATGTTCCCTCCCCGATTTCCCGTCAAAAGGTTGAGGATCTCTTCCGCCCATGTACAACTATGCAGACATCCACAATTTCCCTTCCGTCATTTCGCTCACTCATTTCATTCATTTCTCGCGAATTTCCAGTATAGAATGCCAGCTAGGAGACGTATATTATGAAACCAAGCGCGATATCGTCATCAAATCGATCTCTGGATAAATTTTTGGTAAGACTAGAGCTTCCACCATGAACTTCTCTGAACTCGTTGGTGTCCTGCCGACGGAGCGCCGACGGAGGGAAGATTAGGAACACCGGATGGAGAGAATCCAAAAATGATCCGAATGCGGGGAATTCCAACTGTCAAAGATTTCTTCCACTTCCGCTCCCGACTCCGACAGCATGTTTGGCAGTTCCTCACATGGCGCTCGATAGATCGGTAGACGAACTACCCTCGACATCAAGGAATGGTGGCTCTAGCATCGTAGGCTAGTGTTTCAGCATCTTACATCACTCGACATTTCGCTTTTTCAGCCCAGGGGTTGTTCTTCTTGTCGGGAGCGTGGATCAGGGGGTCCGACTTCTCGTTCTCCTCGATGTAGTCTCGCATCCTGGAAAAAGGTCGGATCGTGAGCATCTTGCAAGGGTCTCCGCCGAGGGGGTAGCTAAATGAATCTCGTATACTTGAGCGAGAAAGGAGAAAACCCGGGAATTCGGTAGATTGATCCCGGTGATTCGAAACTCTCCGGCGGACATCTAATCGATGAGTTTCGGACCGAGACTCGTATGCTCGGAATGACTCCGACGCGGGCAGAGCGGGGACTCGAAAGAGCTCCCTGCATAGCCTCCGCGATAAGATACGACGCACCGCTCCGGAATCCCATCCAGGTGCTCCGTCAAGTCATCAACGGCCACGGCCAGCGCAAGCCAGCATCAATGCTGCTCCACGAACCGGGACGAGCATCCGTGAGATTCCCGTTCACAGCCCTCGCCGACTTAGATCTATGGGGTATTTCCGGGAAACTTCCACGAGGCGGATGCGATTGGGACGGACTCTCCTCCGAGACAGAGACTGGATCGCTCCCAGGTCTTGCCCCTGAGACGGAGCCCGGGCTGGTCATTCGTTCTCGAGAGCACTTCCGACTGAGTATGGTTCGTGGGGAAACCATCGCAGTAGAACACTACGTCTCCGAGGAGGCTGCAAAGTCTTCGCAGATGACTTCAACTCTCGTCGGGACTTGGAACAGCGAAACGAATTTAGCCGCCCCTAAAAATAGCTTGGTCCGCCAGGAGATCTATTGTCTCATGGAGCGAGTCTTCGCGAATACTCACGATTGGATGCTTTTGCTCAAGGGCCATCTTTCCATCTGGGCTTGGTAGCGGAGATTCTCGATCTGTTTCTTGAGCGAATCTTTGTCCATTTTCGGTAGTTCTGCTCGGCGCTCTGGGAGCCCTCTGAGAGTCTCTACGAGCGATATTCACACCTAGAAGAGTGCTCACAAAACAATATGGCGCCAGCGCAGGACCAAGTCGGGAGCAGACGACGATGGTGGGAGGCACTAAGCACAATCATGGCGCTGTCGTCTATCGATCGCTCCGGTGAGAGCGAAAGGATCAGGGAACTAGTGCATTCGATTTCATGCGCGGAAGTCAGTCGAAGATTGCTCGAGCTGAAATGTTGACTCCAGGGGCTCCGGGGCCCTGATGACTCCGGGGCAGACAGCGATTTTCTAGCGTTTTCTGGTCGCAAGGGCTATCTGCCCTATTGAGCTCATCTCGCGGGAAGGGAGCGCAACAGGAGCGGCGATCCGTTGTTCATTGCTCGGCGTGGGAGAAAGGACCCGGATTTTGCCTGGGATTGAATTTCCGAAAGGGACATCGGTCTCAACTCCGGAATCTATGAAGGGCTCTACATTTCTCCGAGGTGTAATTCCGTCTCGCCGAGGGGAGTCGCTGACTCGATCCCACGGACGACCACTGTGCGCTGAGTTTTCAAGAAACCGAGGGGCAGGTAGCGTCCCGGTCACTCACCGCTGCCGAGGACGTGGAACGCAATTGCGTACTGTGCCTCTTCGTTATCCAGAGCGGACTTCTCGATTCCAAGGCCAAAACCCCGACTGGGTGCCCTCCTCGGATTAAGTTTCAGTATTTTTTTTGCCCAGGAGATTTTTCGATGAAGCGTCTCTCACTCAAGCCGAAACCCTCCATGGAATCTTTTAGTTCACTCATTTCGACTTCGTGAGATCGCAATTTATTCGTTATCCCCCACGCTTGAGGACTTCCTTTTCATTTTCTCCGTGGGGAAATCGGTTCTTCATGCGAAAATGTCCTCCGTCGGCCGATTAAAACCCGTGCGATTCTGACGAATCGGAGAACCGTCAAACACTGGACAGGCCATCGCCCTGGTACCGAGATCGAGAAATTGAATTTCCAAGAAACAGCATGCTTCGGAAATGTTCCTATGCTGAGAATCAGGAAGAGGGTCAGTTTCCTCGACTCCAGATCGCTCAGAGGGTTCGGGTTTCCGAGGAGTTATACTGGGGCGAGATTAATTGTCCTGCCTCGCATATGAGGCGCTCTCAATCTTTTTCGAGCAGTCCCTCCAGTCGGAAACCTGCATCCGATGAGGGTGAACCGATCATGACGAAGCCCCTCGATCTTCTTGTTCTTATCATCTTAAGCTCCGACCGACGAATGATCGAATGGTTCGAAGGATCGCTTCGTGCGCTACGCTTCCTCTATTCGTGAAACGACGTGGTTTGTTCAAGTGGATTGTTCTGGCTGCAGTCGATCGAACTCTGGTACCTTCCCCCGCGGAAGTGGTCCTCATCGTCACGCGAGCATGTTTCGCAATATACTGTCAGATCCGACGCCAGAGATGGACATTTTATGCATGATATGAACCCGCTTCCTACTCCTTATACTCGATGGGTGAAGCTCATGGTTGGAAGCCGGCCGGAAAATGTTGGCGGAAAGCTGTCGATTTGGATAAATTCTCAATTAGCCGCCAGAATGTGGGAAGAAATCTCCATCGGCGGCATGAAACTGCACATGGTAGCTGATTTCCTGCTTCCTGTCAGATTTGTAAGATAAGACATCCTTGTTCACGAGCTAGCTAGTCAGACAGCGGTTCTTCGATGGCTAAAGGATGTTGTTCCGACTTGTGAATTCTTTACGAAGTATCAGGATGCGATGATTGACCGCATATGTGCATTCACTGTAGACGGGGCTTCATGCAAAATGCATACGAATAATGAATTGAAAGGGCGTGTTGGACTTGGTAAGATTTTGTACATATCGAGGCTCTTTCACCGATGTCTGCATCGAATGCTGACCAACTGCGGACAGCGGCCGATGGCGAGATCGCAAAGTGTCACGGTAGAGAAAATGAAGAAGAAAGTCACGTTTCTCGCCTTTTCCTCATCGTCCACATCGGACCTTAGGAAATTCAAGCAGGGAATCCCGATGAATATGGCGACACAGCGAGTGAGCGCGGTTTGAGTACGCGGTCCACGTGCGCGTTCGATGCTCACGTTCTGCTGACGTAACGCTCAGAAACTACGGAGCTCGGAAACTCTTTGCAGAATCACTGTAAGCAGCCGGTTTCATCCGCGGCCACTTCGCATCAGGACATGTTTGGCCGACGATAATCGCGGCTCTATGATTGGATCTCCCGCATCAGACGGAGCTCTTCTTCTGGTCCTCTATTAGATGATTCCGAAGATTATCGAATTCACCGATAACGTTCACGTTTCTCCGACATGGTGCATCCGGACTCAACCCCGTACGACCGACGCGTGAGAGCTCGCAGGAAAGTCCACCACTGACGAGGTCAGCCGAATTTTTCGAAGAAATTATATTTATTCATCTCTGGTTTGATTAGTCGAAACATTTGGGATATTTCGTGCTGGTCGCACTCACCCAAGGAACGGATACAGTAGAAATACGCCGTGTCTCGCTACACTCTATACACACTCGCCGTATCTCTCTGCACTCCCTACACTCTATACACTACAGAAGTGAGGAAGATTAGGGGATGGGTTACAGGCGCGAGTGTTGCCAGAAATCTGGGCAGCCTAGAGGGAATGCTGATTGCGCAGACCCGTCGATTCCCCAGGCGGGGACGTGGGTTCACCGCAGCCACAAGAAAATTTAGGTCCTCGGGGTGTGGTCGCGTGGAGCTGCCTTCGTTAAGAAGTCTGGGCGATACCGCTCGACTAGCAGGGAATTCCCTGATTCCTCTTCTTCCCGATTCCCAGACTTCAAGCATCGATTTTCTCGGGCTGGGCACCCAGCTGGTCTCCGTTCGTCGGGTATTCTCGTCTAATTATGGGAAATTGTTGTTTTTCGGATCCCAGATGAGAACACTGTGTCAGATCAGGATAGAGAAGATCTCAGCCGCGCTTGCGCTCTAGAACCACGCCCGAAGAGCATTATCGATATTTACTGGGTCGCTGTGAGTTTCCATCCTCTATAAGTGAGCCCCTTCTCTGGGGATCGCTGGGGATTTCGGGAACTCCGTCCTGAAGTCCAGAATTTCACCGTTTTTGTCTGTCCCTGTCGGGTTGTTTTCCGGTTCAAATTGATGAGCCTCGGAGTCAGCTGTTCGGGAATGTCGGAGCTGCCGGGGCCTCGGCCCATTGGAATAGAGGCCAAGGTTTTACACCAGTGGTGGAGGCTTCCATATCCGTTAGATCTGATTCAGAACCGCTTCCCAATGATTTGATGATCGGCGTCTGGGGAGGAACCATACCAAAAGATGCAAGAAGATGTCGTGAAGGCCTCCAATACCTGAAGTTTCTGTCTCTCCGAGGTAGGGATTCTGGTGTGCTTGGGATGGCTGTATGTCAAAAACCTTTCATCGAGAATGCTGAAGCAACGGACCGAGTCGGGGTATCATTCTCGATATCATAATTGCTTCTGGGGTCGGTTTGTGGAGCTTGAGGGAAGCATCGAAGGCACTATTCTTCGCTCGTAAACGCCGACAGGGGCCGGAATCCTGAGCGGATACACAGGTCTAATTATTCCTTCATACGACTACCACTACTCTCGATCTCAAGTTCCCGTCGGATATCTCAGAGAGCGAAGTCATTCGCTTGCTGAAGTCGCGATTCAATTGGTTAGTTCAGAATCATTGGACTGCCGCGGTAGGATCAATCGCTCCCCAGATACAGCCCTCGAACCCAGTCGGTTCATTCCCGTTCGAGAATGAGCGGGGCCGAGGATCCGGCGGAATCAAAAAATCATATACGCGCTTCAACTATCAACGGCACATTGCTCTGTGTTGCTGTTGCATGAGGGTGGATTGATCTGATGAGGCCGTCTGCAATCCGTCAGATATGACGGGTGGATCCCAGATTCTTCCTCATCGCTCGTCTCTGACATGACATTTTTCCGTGAATTCAGAGAAGTGCATGGTCTTCAGCACCTGTTCGTAGGTGGCGGTCTTCTGATTTATCACCACGCTTCCTTCTCTCCCGTCAAAATGGCTCACGTGGCAAGGTATTTCTATCTGAGAAGGGAACGCACGTTGCGCGGCTGCATCGACATCAAGCAGCTCTCCACAGCTCCCTTCTCCTCCACGCTCCTTGCGGTTAGCGAGAAGGCTTCTGCAGGCTGTCCGGTACAGCCTATCTATCCGTAGAAATCCTAATCAATTTTTGTGATGACTCAAAGTTGTACGGCTGACTACAGGGGGAGTACAGAAAATATGGAGGTCAAAAAGTCGGATGAATCCTACCTTCGAGCCCTATCCGCGCTGGAATATTCCTCGTGAGAAATTCCCGTCCGTGCTTTGGACTGGAGCCGCGATGTTGCGCTGTTGCGTAACAGGGTGAATCCGGAGCCTGTTTCGATCAGATTCGCATTCGGCTAACTGCACACCGTGGCAGCGCCGGACGCCGGAGAATGTCGCGCTCTGGCCTTCTTTTCTAGGAAATAAGCAACTCTCGAAAGTGCAGATCATTTTGCAATAGTTTCGATACACCACTCTCAGGAGCGAGAATCGATGGGCCTGTAGTGATTATTACCAGAGCTAGGAGACTTGCACGGCACGAGGATCTCTCGAATGGTGGGCTCAGAAACATTGAGGAGGGGCGAGCAGAGTCGCTATAAGCAAGCGAAGAAGGCTTCGGAGAAGAAGTCGCAGAAGGGACTTGGGTTGTTTCAGGCTCTTCCTCGCATGTGTGCTCTACGCTTTCCTGAGCAAAGCATACTCCGATTCTTCGAGGGTACACCATAGTCGGAGACACGAGATCGACGCCCACTGGACACCCTCATGAAAATATGTTACGTTGCGCTAGAAAGACATTCAGACTCGTTGTGCTCAATAATTATCTGCAGATGTATCATAGTTCACTACGTACGAGATCATAATCGAATTAAGGCATAGAGAAAGACAGGAGGTAATGGGGGATTTGTCAGGAACTTTTCCTCGGTAATCCCGCGATATCGACTTTACGAATGCGGGAAAAGGCACGGATACGGATATCATTGAAAAAAAATGCGAAAATGGCTCTAAAGCGCCGGAAAGACGCGCGGAGCGAGCCAAAGTTGCCCGTCCTAGTACTTTTTCCTCGAACGTGTTGACTGGGTTAAATGGACTTAACTGGTTAGCAGGAGTAAAGTTGTACTATCGACCCTTTCTCTTGTTTGAAGCAGCGGACGGTTCTATTTCCATCATGTGCATTGTCTAGACTTGTCCGAAACTTCGAGGAGCCGTCAAGGTGAGCATTTGATCTTCAGCTCGCAAATTAACCAGCGATAGATTTCTGGCCGAGACTCCTCATCAGTTTAAAATTTCTCCGGAATCTGGTCGCTGTTCAGAATCCCCACAGACTCGACTCTCAATTGGTCGAGGAGAAGCGAGGATGTTGCTGGCTTTGGACACCACATTCGATTGAGCTGTAGGAGCTTCCGATATTGGGACGGGATATTTGGGATTGAGTGCCGCTGTCCCCGCGGGAACCCTCCACTCGCCTCCCCCAGTATCAGCTGGCACCTCGGAGGCGATGTCGGAGGAACCGTCCGATCCGTTTATAAGAGACCCTTTGAGGAGTCTGGAGGGCCTCTTTCGCATTTCACGATCGGTTTTCTCTCACATCCGATGTCATCAAGATTAGCGCCCATGATATCGGAGAGCGGAAATGTGTTTCTTATGGCCGCTTCTCTCTTATATCCGAATCTCTTAGAAGTGGGCGCGACTGTATATCGATCGGCGAGTAGCCTTGAGCTGCTTGCTCAGATTCGGGTAGTACACAAGCCCCACACAGCGCCTACCGTCAGGGTTTCCCAAGTCCCGGAAGCTTCCGTTCTCCCGTACTCGAGGGCAAGGCGGGCGCGACGATCATCATGACGAAGGATGTTTCGAATGGACAGAGCTGGAGAAGCTCCGACCGATTGAAAATAGGGATTCTCCACCATTTCAGTTCCTGGAAAGGACGGCTCTTGTCTTCACGATGCAGACCGCTAAAATCGTGCAGATCATCCGGTGCTGGTGCCTGAAAGTCTCAATAGTAGTCTACTTGCTCATAGTGATACTTCACCCGCTATTCGTTTGGCATCTGTGGAGTTACTGGTGTATGCGACAAGTTATCGTGAGTTCCCGTGATTTTATGGGACAGGGCGAGTCTCCTTACGCCATGGATCGAGAAAGCTCCGCTAGAGGGGAAAATGCAATCAATGATTTCCTTTCTTTCCCGTTCCCAGTTGTTCTACCTGCCAAGCACGCTGCTCATAGTGTTTTGGGAGGCTTTCTTCTCATTCGGCGCAGTGTTCGCTTTCATCACCAGGGGGAATAAAGACGCTCAAGCGTTCTACCTGAAGGTCCACTTCAGCGTAGTATACTATGTATTCTTCAGGTTCATGCACGGTAAGTCCAGTTTTTGGTGTGCGGTGGGAATTCGTCATACCCACTGGTGATCTGAGCAGGTACTGAGGCCACTGTGGGACACTCACATGATCTTCCATGCCTTGGTTCAGGGTGTGAAGTTCATGGTTATGAAAATCTGCCGAAGGGTGGTGCCATGCTCGCTGTGTTCCATGGTCCCGCCATCCCTCCCGATGCTCCTTTCATGATGAGCCTTTCCTATCTGAGAGATGGACGCTTGCTTGGGTGCTTTATCGATAAGAGCTTCTTCGAAAATCCATTTCTCGAACACTTCTTCAAGGTGGAAATTTATAAGAACTTTACCCATCTGATTTTTCGAAACAAGTTTTCTTCGAAGAATGACACGAACGAGCTCGATTCTCTCACCGAATCTGACCCTTGCAGCTCGTGGGCTGCAGCAGTGGCCGACAAGAATTCTTGGAAGATCTGAAGAATGGTCATCTGAGAGGCGTGGCCCCCGGTGGCGGCGACGAGGCCATGTTTAGCAAAAACTACAAGTGGGTGAATGTTTCCTCCTCGAAGGAGGACGTAGAGCACTCGAATATCGAATCGGTTCGAATTCATTTCACGAAAAACTTTCTAGGCTGGAATGGAAATCCCGATCCGGATTCGCGAAGATAGCCAAAGAAGCAGGGGTTCCGGTGGTCCCGATGTTCACGAGGAACATCCAGCATGGAACGCTCCAACTCGAGTTCCTAAGATCAGGTACAGTATAATTTTTTCCGGGCGCATTTCTGATATACGACAAGTCGAGTGAATTCTTCGCCTGAGTGATTGTGAGATCTTGAACTTACTCAGCGTGAATCTTGACGATTCCTTTCAATGACCTATTTCAGAAACCGTTCAACGATGGTACGAGTCAACGAAATTCCCCATCATCTTACCCAAAGTCTACCTTCCCGTGAAAATGAAAACCTGTCTGGGCGAGCCGCTTCTCTGCGGACCTGATGATCAGCCAGAGGCCTTCGCGCTGAGAGTGAGCTGATTAGCATAGGTCGCTGCTGGACACAGAGGGATCGAGCTAGTTTCGATCGGTTCCTCTTCCATGTGCTTTCGAGGAATGACGACCAGGGGTCGACGTTTCAGTGTAAGAGGGCGATTGAGGATCTGCGGGATAAGCACCAACCACCAAAGCAAACCTATTGGGGTGCCCTCATGGAGAGGCTTTGGTAGTCCTGTGATAAACGGCTGAAGATGTTCAGGAGAGTCATGCGCCTTCGTACAAGGTAGGCCACGAATGCATACGTCGCCTCGTATCCGCGCTGCTGACCTAGGCGATGTCCGCACAGTTCAGCTCGACAATCCGAAGTTTCGATAGGTGAATTCGCTGCAGAATATGATGGAGTTTAGTTTGCTGTGGCAGCTTCCACAGCTGTGAGGTGAGCATTCCAGGAGAGGTTGGATTCGAGGATCACACCAAGGCATTTAACCGAGGGGGACCACGGAATGGGGACAGTCTCCCAGACGATGCAACCGTCAGGGTTGATAGTTCCCGAGTTGCGGTGACGGAAAAGGAGGGCAAAGGTTTTAGAGGTATTGACGGTGAGACGGAGGGTAAGGAAAAGGTTGGGGATACGATCCAGAAAG